TATTTATATAGATAAGTTTAATATAAAAAAAATAAATAAAAAATAATATTATAAAAAATTTAGCATAATTATATGTCTAAAAAAACTATTATTTACAAAAAATTATTAATTACAAATATACTAATTTATATGAGTTTAATTTAAATATTTAAATTAAAATTTTTATTTAAATTTATAAAATAAAAAAAATAAAAATAAATAATTAAAAATGTATGTTTTGAGGAGATTATTTTTAGAGGATTTGAAAATCTCTAATTAATTTGAAAAGTTTATTAATAAAAAGGAATAAAATAAAACTATTGTAAAATTAAAAAACTTAAAAATAATAAAAAAAAAAATAAAAAAAAAAAATAAAAAAAGAACGAAATTTATTTATTAAATATGTATATTGAGTGAACGTGGGTGAATTAACATTTATTATTTTTGTTTTTCTTTTTTTTTTTGTTGTAAAAATCAACAATGTTAAAATTTTTTATAATGAATAAATCGGTTTAGGTAAAAAAAAGATTTAATTAATATAAATAATAGGGTAATAAAGAAATAATGTAGTGTTATTAGATGTGGGTGAAAGCCTTTAAAAAATTTGATATTTTATCAAAAAAAAAAGAGCAATTAATTTTATTTAATCTTTCATTAATTTTACCCAACTATTTAATTTTATTTAATAATAATAAAAAAATGAATTTACACAAATACAATATTTTTCAAATTAATTTGTGGGCAATTAGTGTGTATGTGGTGTATTTTTTTAGTATTATTTTTAATAATTGTTTATAAAAATATATTTTCGTTCCAATCATAATAATCTTTTGCCTTTTTTAAATCTCAGGATTCAATCATCCCAGATTTATTAATCACACATTTATGAGAAAAAAAAACACCCAAACTCAAATATCAAAAAAAAAAAAAATTTGAAAATAAAAATAAAAATAAAAATAAAAATAAATAAAAATTAAATAGGATCATAAAAATAATAAAAAATTTTATTATAATTTTAGAAAACTTAGAAGGGGAGAAATAAAGAAAGATTATTGGGAATGTGTTATTACTCTTAAAAAGAGATTGAATGAATAAATAAATAAGTTTTTTATTGAATTATTTTGTTTAGATATTTTAAAGATTAGAATTATTGGAACTATTTTTTAAACAAAATTAGTTAAAATAAAACAAAACTATGTGAAAAAAGGAATTGGAAATCTATTTCTTTTTTTTTTTTGTAAATCTTTGAATTATAAAAATTGTGTGTGGTTTTCGTCTTTATCATAATTTAAAATAATTAAATTTGAGTTGTTTTTTGTTATTAAAATGATTTTTTGTGTTTTAATGTTATTATTTTTATATTATCGTTATTTTAGTTAATATTATTACTATTTATTAAAAGTTGTATTATTACTGTATAAATTTATGTACTTTATTATTATTTAGTTTATATTTAAAAGAACTGAACTTCACCTGTACCAGACAATTGGGCTCCTGAACTGCCGGAGCTACCACTACCACTGCCACTACCACTACCTCCACCACTACCACCACTTCCACTTCCAAATCCATTGAAAAGGTCTACTCCCCCTATTAATTTGTGGGAATTTAAATAAATATCCACATCTCCTTCTTTTGAAATCTTTATAATATCATTTAACCTTCTGAATTGTTTAACTTTAAAATCTGTCCATAAACCTAAATTATTAAAGTTAATTATTTATTTTATTGCAAATATTTGTTTTTATTACAATTACAAACTACTTACCAATTGGAGATAAATAATAATCTTCAAACTCTTGGTTTGTACCACTCTTTAAATAAAACAATGGGAATGATGAAAAACGTGAATCTTTTATATTTCCAAAAACTTTGTTACTATATTTATGGTTGGTTTGATTTGATTTATGGAGTTATTTGATTACAATAATAATTGTTTTTATAAAAAAATAAAAATTAGTTTATTGATTATCATAATTGTTTAATAAAAAATAAAAAAATAATAATAAATAAAAAATAAAAAATAAAAAAGGGGTGGGGTATTTTACAAAAACAAAGATTTTTTTCATATAAAAACAATTTGGAACCACATTATTTTATAAAATAGCGTTACCACCAATACTTACTAGGTTTCTTTTGAAACTTTGATGCCAACACTATAACCATATTCTCTGAATGTGTTTAAAACATCCTTTGTAAATTCATAATACTCTTGATTTTTATCAAATTTATTATCTAAATTTCCACCCAATAAACCATCAATACTTTTGCCATCATTATTATAACAATTTTGATAATTTGATTCAATATTAAACCAAATATTTTCTGGGAATAAATTGGTTTTTCTTAAATTATTATTAAATGTTTTTATAATATCTTTATAACTATTCTTTGAATTTAAACAAAAACTAAAACTCTGTTATAAAAAAAAAAAAAAAATTAGTAAAAATTTTATGGATGAATTATTCGACAAAGATTAAAACTTACAAATTCAATAGAGTTTACTTTGTTTCTTCTTAATTCTTGAACTAAAATTTGAAAATCTACAATAATTAGAAAATGGTATTAATAAATTAATCTCTTTTATAACCGAAAGATAAAAGATAATCAACATACTATTTTCATTTATAAAATCAGAGTTATAACTATCGAAAATATCAATAATAACTTTTTTATTTGAACTAAATTCCAAAATTTTTAACCAATCATTTGAACCTAATAACTCTGTAAAAAAAAAAGTTGGTAAATGGGGTATTATATTATTATAATAACTTTTCTGTAAATATTACCTCCGTCAAATGCTTTTTTAAATTTTGGAGAAATTCCTATACTTAGGGCAGTGTTAATATTTGAGGGCAAAGAATATGCAATACTAAAAAATAAAAAAATAAATAATAAAATTTTCATGGTTATAAAATATATTTTCTATTGAAAAATAAAAAAAAATAAAAAAAAGAAAAATAGTTTTTAAAAAAAATAAAATAATTAAAAAAAAAAATAAAAAAAAAAAATAAAAAAAAAAGATTTTTATTTGATCAAAAAAAAAAAAAACAAATATAGAAATAAACAACTGCAAAATAAAATAATTTGTACTCCCAACAAATTTTTTTCATTGAACTAATTTTTGAGCAAATTACAGTGCTTTTAAATAATTTACACCAACTTAATTAACTCTGTCCATTTTTTTTTGTTTTCTATGTTTTTTTTGTTTTTTTTAAATAAAAGTATCTTAACTTTTTAAAAATAGAATCAGATATAAATATTGTCACAAAGAAAAACCATCATTTTAATTATGTTTTTTTTTAACGCTATATACAATATATATTAATTTTTAATTATTTATAATAAAAATATATTAAAAAAATGTAACCCCTTCTTTAATTATACATATAAAAATTTAAAATAACAACTTTATTTATATTATTTATATTATTTATATTATAATGTTGTGTTATGTGGGGTAAATTCTGGAAATCTAAGACAAATTATAAAGTATTATTATTCAATATTAAGGAATGAATTTAAACTGATGTAAATAAAAAAGATTTTTTTTTTTTTTTTTTAATTTATTTTTATTTGTAAAAAATATTTTTTTAAAATATAAATAGAAAAAATAATAATTTAATTAATAATTAAAAATCAAAACTTTTTATACAAAAAAAAAAAAACTATTAAAGAAAATGTCTAAATGTAATATTATAATGAACAATAAAAAAAAGAAAAATTAACTAACCCGAGTTTTTTTTTTTATATAGGTTTATGTTTTAATTTAAAGTCCAAAGAATCAAACAATAATAATTTAGTTAAATTAGATAATATAAATAATAATGTGGTTGAAGAGCAAACAAAAAAACAAAAGAAACAAAATAAAGATAATAATAATAGTAATAATAATAATAATAATAATAATAATAATAATAATAAAAATAATAAAAAGAAAAACCCTAAAGATATGACACCAGAAGAATATCAAGAATTCTATGATGAATTTATGGATAATTTAAATAAGGTTATACTAGCTTTTTAAATATTTATAATATTGTATTATACTGTTCGCTCTCTTTATTTTGTGCATAATGATATGCACAAATGTAATTATTATTTAATAATAAACCATCTTATTTATTTACATAAAAATATTTAACGTTGTTTTTTTGTTTTTTTTAAAATTAATTTTTATTTATTTACATTTTGGATTAATGTATATTTTTCATATGAAAAAATTTTGTGTGGATATGAGGTTAGAGTGAATGTATTTATAATATATTAATGAAAAGCTGGGTGGTTGTTTGGGGTTGTTTGGTGGTTGGTTGGTTGAAAAAATTAATTAAATATACTTAAATAATTTTAATCATCAGTTTCTGGTTCAAGATCTGTTTCTTTGATGAAAGAATCTAATTCTTCAGCAGTTAAAATATGATATACAATTTTGTCACCTATTCTTGTAAAGTATGAGAATTCTAATTTGTCACTATTGATATTTGAACGATCCATTGTCTTTGTTAAAACCTTAAGGGCTAATGTAAGTGCCTCTTTTAATGAAATATCTGGTTTATAATTTGATCTTAAAACTGATTGTGCAACCTATTATAAAAATTGAAAAAAAAAAAAAAAAAAAAAAATATTAGCACATAATTGAAAACAAAAAATAACCACATATTTTCATGATATACATACTGGACTATTTTCACCACCAATGCTTGTAGCTTTCCAACCAGCAAAATTACCAGATGGATCTGATTGATATAATTGGAAACCATAATGACGATCCCAACCAGCATAGAGGAAAGATACACCAAATGGACGAAGACCACCATATTGGGTGTAACCTTGCTTGGTATCACAAATTTGTGATACCAATTGCTCGACTGGCATTGGTTCTTGGTATTGATAGTAATAACGTTGTGATGATAACCTAGCATAATTAATTAATATATTGGCATCTGATGTAATACCTGCAACAGCACAAACAACATGTTCATCAATTTTGAACATTTTTTCAGAAATTGTTGTACTTTGATCTAATAATTTGGCGGTGGTTTTCTTTTCTGCTGCTAAAACAATACCATCCTTTGCTAAGATACCAACAGTTGCACCAGCATGTCTAATAGCTGTCATAGCATACTCTACTTGATAAACACGACCTTCTGGTGAAAAAATTGTAGTTCTTTGATCATATCTTCTAGCCTAAATAATTTAAATTATATTAATATTAATTCGATTTATATTATTATCATCATTATTATTGATTATTGATTATTATTATAATTATTGATTATTATTATATTATTGATTAAAATTAATGAGGTTTCATATTTTATATGTAAAATAAACCATTTTTCAATTTTTAGTTATTGTGAATGTTAATGATCTTTACCATTTTATTTATTTATATGAACTGGAATAAAAATTAAAATTATATAAATATAAATACAAATAAAAAAAAAAAATTTAAATAATAAAGAAAAATTTATAAATATAAAAAAAAAATTAAAATTTTTTTTTTTTTGAAGTTGTAATTTTTTTTTTTAATTAAAAAAAAATTTTAAAAAAAATTAAAAAAAAAAAAAAAAAAAAAAATTAAAAAAATTAAAAAAAAATAATTTGTAAATATTATTTGATCAAAATCAGTTTCCTCAATTGGTATCATGTTTATTTTTAATAATGATAAAAAATAAGTAAACAAATATTAATAAACTATTTCTTTAATTGTTTTATAAAATGAAATACAACTACAATTAAAATTTTTTTTTTTTTCTAACTATTTATTATAATTATTCAACTTTATTTCTTTTTATGTTTGTAATTATTTGTAATTATTTGAATATTGAATATTTATTACGTGTTTTAAAATTTATTGTGGAAAAAACAAATAAAAAAAAAAACGAAAAAAAATTTAAAAATTAAAAAAATGATTTTTTTTTTTTTTTCTTTTTTTTTTTTTATTTTTCATTTTGTATAAATTTTTAAATATCATTTATTTATTTTTATTCTTTCAAGTTCTTTTTATTTTAAAATCATATAAAAGAGTGGAAAATGATTAGAGGTATTAAATTTTTAAATACCAAATCTGGTGTGATCACATCAATGAATAGATTCCAAAGTAGATCATTCATAAATTCAACCATAAAATCAACATCATTTTTAAATAACACCAACAATAAAATTACATACAAGAGATCATATTCAACTGATCCAAATAATAATAGTAGCAACATTACAGATCTTTCATCAACTACAAGCAATATTACAGATTTATCAACCAATGCAACCAATATTGTAAATGGTATAAAATATGCAGATTATGTTAAAACCGAAACCATATCACCAGACGAAAGTTTAATTTCAGCCTTTTTCTCAAAAATAAATTTTGATAATATTGAAGTTTTAAATGGATTACACGAAAATTATGGATTATCATGGGTAGCAATTATCGCTGGTATGGCATTAGCATTACGTGTCACAACATTCCCGGTAACCTTAAGAACTCAAAGAATTAGTGCAAAAATGAGAATGGTTAGACTAGAAACTGAAAAGCATGGTTATCTTAATGATGGTACAACTGAAGGAAGATTAAAATTAATGCAACTCCAACAACAAATTATGAAAAAATATAATGTTTCTCCATTATCTGCCATTGGTCCAAATCTTGTACTCTTACCACTTTTAATTTATCCATTCCTTATTATTCGTCAAATTAGTGATCACACTACTCTTTTAGATAATACCTCTTTCTTATGGGCTGACAGCCTTTCAGCAGTTGATCCATACTACTTATTACCAATTCTCTCATCTGCTTTCCAACTCTTATCAACCCGTTTTACATTGACTGCTGATACTCATCCACTTATGAAAGGTTTTATGTATTCAATTAGTGTTTTACCATTACTTTTCACAATTCATTTTTCAGCTGTAAGTAATCATTATCATAATCATTTTTTATTTAATTTTACTAATTTTTATTGTAATAAAATTAGGGTCTTAATGTTTATTGGTGCACAAATTCCATTCTTTTCAGTTTAACAAATTTATTCTTTAAATCTAAATTTGGTGCAAACCTGTTTGGTCTTCCATATGATGATCCAAAATCCTTAAAAAATGAAAAAATTGTTATTGCACCAGATCAATTCACTCCAGTTAAAACTATTGAAGAAATTAAAGATTTTGAAGATATTGGAAAAAAAGAAAAACTTCAAGAGCAAATTAGAGCCAAAAACGAATTGATCGAAAAAAGAAAAGAAGAATTAAAAGCTTTTAGAAGAAAGAAAAATTAAAAAATAAATAAAAACAATAAAAATAATTATAGTATAACAAATTTTGTTTTATATCTTATATTTATTTAATTTATAATTTATTTATTTATTTTTTTTTTATTTTTTATTTTATTTTAATTTCTCTATTTAAATATATTTTTTTTTATAATTATTTATTTTTTATTAATTTTTTTTTTTTAAAATTTTTTTAATCATAAATTAAAAAAAAAAGAAAAAAAATTAAAAAAAAAAAAATTAAAAAAAATTGAACAAACATCATTTTTTTTTTTATTTTTTTTATTAAATTTTTCTTTTATTAATTTTTAATATTCATATATTTTTATATCTTTTTTTTATTTATCTTTTAATTATTTTTTTTTAATATAAAATGAATTGGAAAGAACATTTAGAAGAAATTGGTACCTACCAAGATTCAAATAAAGCAGTTACAGCCTATAATAATATTCTC